GGGCTCGGGAGCGGCAGGAGGAGGAGGAGGCCAAGTGCCTGGAGAAGTTCGAGGGGGCCGAGCCGCTGGAGGCGGCCGAGCTCGGGGCCTTCACGGACTCGATGCTGCCCGGCTGCTCGCAGCTGCTGGACGAGCTGCCCGACACCGTGTACCGCGTCTGCGACCTGCTGATGACGGCCGTGCGCCGCAACGGCCCGGCCTACCGGGACAGCGTGCTCAAACAGGTGGTGCAGCAGGTATGGAGCCCTGAACACACCCTAAACCCAGCTTAAACCTCTCCCAAACCCACCTCGAGACTCCCAAACCCACCCCAAGACCCCTGACCCCAGTGATGGCCGTGCGCCACAATGGCCCGGCCTACCGGGACAGCGTGCTCAAACAGGTGGTGCAGCAGGTATGGAGCCCTAAACCCACCCTGAGACCCCTAAATCTGCCCAAACCCCCCTGAACCAGCCCTGGGACACCCTGAACCCCTGGTGTGCAAGGTGCCCCACTGACCCCTGACAACTCTGACCCCCACTAAGCCCCACTGAGCCCCAATGACCCCTGACCGCCCCAAACCTGTCCCAAACCCACCTCGAGACTCCCAAACCCACCCCAAGACCCCTGACCCCAGTGATGGCCGTGCGCCACAATGGCCCGGCCTACCGGGACAGCGTGCTCAAACAGGTGGTGCAGCAGGTATGGAGTCCTAAACCCACCCTGAGACCCCTAAATCTGCCCAAACCCCCCTGAACCAGCCCTGGGACACCCTGAACCCCCCGGTGTGCCAGGTGCCCCACTGACCCCTGAGCCCTGACAGCTCTGACCCCCACTAAACCCCACTGAGCCCCAATGACCCCTGACCCTCAGTGATCCCTGAACCCTGCTGACCCCCACTGATCCCTGACCCCCAGTGACCATCCTGACCCTCACTGACCATCCTGACCCTCATTGACCCCTGAACCTCAATGACCACTGACCCCTGAACCCCACTGACCACCCTGACCCGCACTGACCATCCTGACCCTCACTGACCCCTGAACCCCACTGACCATCCTGACCCGCACTGACCCCTGAACCCCACTGACCACTGACCCCTGAACTCCACTGACCATCCTGGCCCTCACTAACCCCTGAACCCCAGTGACCATCCTGACCCCCAGTGACCCCTGACCCACTGACCCCCAGGTGTGGGAGGCGGCCGATGTCCTGATCAAGGCGGCCGTGCCGCTGACCACCAGCGACACCAAGACGGTGTCGGAGTGGATCAGCCAAATGGCCACCCTGCCCCAGGCCTCCAACCTGGCCACGCGCATCCTGCTGCTCACCCTGCTCTTCGAGGTACCCCAAAACCTGGGGGGAGTGACCCCAAAACCTGGGGAAGTGACCACAAAACTTGGGGGAGTGACCACAAAACCTGGGGGTGGTAACCCAAAACCTGGGGGAGTGACCACAAAACCTGGGGGTGGTCTAAAAAGCTGGGAGGGAGGAAGCCCAAAACTTTGGGGGGATCCCAGAATCTGGGGAGTGACCCCAAAACCTGGAAGGGGTGGCACAAAACCTGGGGAGGCACCCCAAAACTTGTGGGGAACATCCCAGGGTCCCTGGGCCTCACGTCCCTCAGAAAATATGCCAGGTGTTTTCCAGAGGTGGCTCATTTTCCAAAAATCCCGAGGTTTGGGGTGGTTTTGAGGTGTTTTGAGGGTATTTTGGGGGTGTTTGGGATGGTTTTTGGGGTGCTGATGTTTTTGGGGTGCCCCAGGAGCTGAAGCTGCCCTGTGCCCCTTGGAGGGGTCCAGCTGCGTGCTGGTTTGGGGCTGTTTCTGTGGGTATTTCAGGGCTGATTCTGGATATTTTGGTCGGGTTTTTGGGGTTGTTTGGGATGTTTTTTGGGGTGCTGATGTTTTTGGGGTGCCCCAGGAGCTGAAGCTGCCCTGTGCCCGCGTGGTGGAGTCCAGCTGCGTGCTGGACGTGCTGATCAAGCTGCTGGAGGTGGTGCAGCCCTGCCTGCAGGCTGCCAAGGAGCACAAGGAGGTTCAGACCCCCAAGTAAGGAGTGACCCCTCCCAGACCCCTCAGAACCCCCCCAAAACCTCCTATGGGTACTCTCACAGCTCTTCTTTCCCCCCAAAAAAGGTGGATCACCCCTGTGCTGCTGCTGATTGATTTCTATGAGAAGACAGCCGTGTCCTCCAAGCGCCGCGCGCAGATGAACAAGGTGGGAGGGCCAGGGGGGAATTTGGGGGGTCCTGGGGGGTTTGAAGGGGCTGGGAGGGGACATGGGGGGCTCCTGGGGACACATGGTGGGGCTGGGATGGAGGTGGAGCAGCCAGGGTGACACAGGGGGTGACACATAGAGTCCTGGGAGACACAGGGGGTGACACACAGAGCCCTGGGGGATACAAGGGGTGACACACAGGGTACAGAGGGACACAGGGGGTGACACGGGGTGACACACACAGTCCTGGGACACACAGGGAGTGACACACAGAGTCCTGGGGGACACAGGGCATGACACACAGGGTCTGGGGTGACGCACAGGGTCTGGGGTGACACAAGGGTCCTGGGGGACACACAGTGTCCCTGCGATGGGCACAGTGACCACCACACCCAGCGCTGCCCTGAGTGGGGTTTGGAGGGCACACAAGGAGCTCCAGGCCACTGACCCCCCCCTTCCCCATGTGCCCCCCCAGTACCTGCAGGCCACTGGGAACAACTGGCGCTGGTTTGACGACCGCTCGGGCCGCTGGTGCAGCTACAGCGCCAGCAACAACAGCACCATCGACGCGGCCTGGCGGGCCGGGGAGCCCAGCGTGCGCTTCACGGCCGGCCGGCGGCGCTACACCGTGCAGTTCACCACCATGGTGCAGGTGAGGGGCTGGGGACAGGGCTGGGGGGCGTGGGGACACAGCCCTGGGGTGTGGGGACACACTGCTACACCGTGCAGTTCACCACCATGGTGCAGGTGAGGGGCTGGGCACAGGGCTGGGGGGCGTGGGGACACAGCCCTGGGGTGTGGGGACACTGCTACACCGTGCAGTTCACCACCATGGTGCTGGTGAGGGGCTGGGCAAAGACTGGGGGGCGTGGGGACACAGCCCTGGGGTGTGGGGACACTGCTACACCGTGCAGTTCACCACCATGGTGCAGGTGAGGGGCTGGGGACACAGCCCTGGGGTCAGCCAGGGCACGGTGACACAGCCCTGGGGTGTGGGAACACGCTGCTACACCGTGCAGTTCACCACCATGGTGCAGGTGAGGAGCTGGGGACACAGCCCTGGGGTGAGCCAGGGTGCAGGGACACAGCCCTGGGGTGTGGGGACACACTGCTACACCATGCAGTTCACCACCATGGTGCAGATGAGGGGCTGGGGTCAGGGCTGGGGGGCAGCCAGGGCACAGGGACACAGCCCAGGGCATGGGGACATGGCCCTGGGGACAGCCAGGGCATGGGGACACACCACTACACCGTGCAGTTCGCCACCATGGTGCAGGTGAGGGACTGGGCAGGGGCTGGGGGGCATGGGGACACAGCCCTGGGGTCAGCCAGGGTGCAGGGACACAGCCCTGGGGTGTGGGGACATGGCCCTAGGGGCAGCCAGGGCACAGGGATACAGCCCAGGGCATGGGGACACAGCCCAGGGTCACCCAGGGCAGGGGGACACACCCCTAAGGGTAGGGGACAGACCCCTGGTGCCACCCAGCACAGGGGAACATGGCCCCAGCATCACCCACTGCAAGGGACACCCTGCTGGTGTCACCTCGTGGGACGGGGGAATCTTCCCCATGGCAGAGAGACACCCCTGGTGTCACCCCATGGGGAGGGGCCCCAGTGTCACCCCTGTCACCCCCTGGTGTCCCCAGGTGAACGAGGAGACCGGGAACCGGCGCCCGGTGATGCTGACGCTGCTGAGACCCCCCCGCGCTGGGAAGGGCCGCGACGAGGGGGGGGCCGAGGACCCCGAGGGGAAGAGCAAGGATGAGACCCCCGGTATGGGGCTGGGGGTAGCTGAGGGGTTTTGGGGGCAGGGTCTGAGGGGTCATTGGGAGGGGGGTCTGAAGGCTTTTGGGGGGATTTGAGAGGTTTTGGGGGGGGGATCTGAGCACTTTTGGGAGGGTCTGAGAGGTTATGGAGGGAGTCTGAGGGGTCATGGGGAGGTTGGAGGGGTTTTGGCAGAGTCTGGGGGGGTCATGGTGGGGTCAGAATGGTCATGGTGGGGTCAGAATGGTCATGATGAGGTCAGAATGGTCATGGGGGGTCAGAATGGTCATGGTGAGGTCAGAATGGTCACGGTGGGGTCAGAGTGGGGTCAGAATGGTCATGGGGGCGTCACAGGGGTCATGTGGGGAGCAGAATGGTCACAGTGGTGTCAGAATGGCCATGGGGGGGGTCACAGGGGCCACAAGTAAGTGCCCCAGACCCCCCAGCCATACCCACCCCCCAAAAACCACTCTCCTTATCCCTTTCCCCATCCCCACAGCTGCAGACCCTCCTTCTACAGACGAAGACCCCTCCTCTACCACCACCACCAGCACCACCACCACCACTCCCACCGCCCCCTGCCCGTCCCCTCCCTGCCCCACGCCGACCCCCGAGGAACCCCGGGACGACCCCGGCGCCGACGCCGAGGCTCCGGTGCGGGGCCTGGCGGAGGAGGCGGTGCCGGCCGTGCTGCGGGCGTGCGTCAGCATGCTGGGGGTGCCGGTGGACCCCGACACGCTGCACGCCACGCTGCGCCTGTGCCTGCGCCTGACGCGGCAGCACAAGCACGCGCTGCTGTTCGCCGAGCTGCGCTCCACCCGCACCATCCTGGCGCTCACGCAGAGCTCCGGCTTCACCGGCTTCACCCCGCTGGTCACCCTGCTCTTCCGGCACATCATCGAGGATCCCTGCACGCTGAGGCACACCATGGAGAAGGTGAGGGGTGGCGAGGGGGGAGAGGGGATTGGGAGGCTGGGGGAAAGGGAAATAGAGGGATAAAGTGAGAGGGAAGAGGGCATAGGGGAGCTGGGGGTGAGGGGAATAAAGGGAGAGGAAATTGGGGGGGACAAGGGGATCAGGGAATTGGGGCTGCAGGGGACAGGGGGATAAGGGAACTGGGGGTTGTGGGCGCAAGGGGGTCAGGGAATTGGCGCTCTGGGGCCAGCAGGGCCAAGGAGGGCTCTGCAGCTCTGGGGCTTCAGGCTCCCACGGGAAGCTCTCCCGGGGGTGCCCCTCTGGCCCCGTGCCCACGGTGTCCCCACCATGTCCCCGTGCCCAGGTGGTGCGTTCAGCAGCCACGAGCGGGGCAGGCAGCACCACCTCGGGGGTGGTGTCAGGCAGCCTGGGCTCACGGGAGGTGAATTACATCCTGCGGGTGCTGGGCCCCGCCGCCTGCCGCAGCCCCCACGTCTTCACCGAGGTGGCCACGGGCTGCATCCGCATCGCCCTGCCCGCGCCGCGCGGCTCCGGCACCGGTGAGGGGCACCGGGGGGGTCTGGGATGGGGGGGGATCCTGGGGAGGGTCTTGGTACCTGGAACAGGCTGCTGGAGGGGGACATGGGTGGGCTCTTGGAGGGTGGGCTGGGATGTGGAGGGGGGACAGGGACATGGGGGGAATCCTTGGAGTCCCTGGCAGCTGTAATGGGGTCCTGGGAGGATTCCTGGAGGGGATCCCAGGGTGCTTCTATCCACAAAAAAAATGGGGTTCTAAGGGTCTCTCAGAACAGGGTTCCTAGGGGTGCCTTTATCCCCCAAAAATAGGGTCCCTTCACCCTCAGAATTGGGGTCCCAGGGCTGCTTCTCTCCGCAAAAACGGGGTCCCAGGAATCCTCTTACCCTCAGAATAGGGGTCTCTCAGAATGGGGGTCCCAGAGGTGCCTTCACCCCCTAAAAACCAGCATCCCATCTCATCCTCATCCCCAACCTGACACCGCTGAGGATCCCCCCAAATCCCTGACCCCTCCCATTTCCCCCCGTTTCCCCCCAATTTCCCAGCCTCTGACGACGAGTTCGAGAACCTGCGGATCAAGGGGCCCAACGCGGTGCAGCTGGTGAAGACCACGCCGGCCAAGGCGGCCGCGCTGCCGCCCATCCCCGAGCCCATCCGCGATGTCATCTACGACATGCTCAACGCCCTGGCTGCCTACCATGCCCCCGACGAGGGTATGGGGGGCTCAGGGGGCTGGGGGGGCTCGGGGGGAGCAGAGGGAGGAGTGGGGTGCACATGGAGCAGGAATTGGGGTGGCCTGTGCAATGCCCTGGGTGCCCACCATGCCCCTGTGGGTGTCCCTTGAGGGACTTGGGGAACCCCCACAGTGGGGGGAGACATCCCCAGAGAAATTTGGGGTGCAGAGAGAGGAGTGGGGTGCATATGGAGCAGGAATTGGGATGTCCTGGGCAATGCCCTGAGTGCCCACCGTGCCCCCGATGAGGGTACGGGGGGCTCGGGGTGGGCAGAGGGAGGAGTGAGGTGCATGTGGAGCAGGAATTGGGGTGTCCTGTGCAATGTCCTGGGCCTCTGACAAGGGTTTGGGGGGGCTTGGGGGGGACCCTTGTGATGGGGACAGACACCCCTGGGGAGGTTTGGAGGGGAGCACAGGGGGCAGGGATTGGGGGTCACACGAGGAAATTGGGGTGTCCCCAGGGAGTGAGGTAGATGTGGAAAAGGATTTGGGGGGGTTCTTCATATGGGGAAAGGATCGGGGTGTCCATATAGGGACAGAACTGGGGTGTCTGTATTAGGGGGCAATCAGGATGCCCCATCCCCCAAGCATCCTCAGTCCCTCTGGGGGTGCCCTTTGTCCCCCCCTGAGAGCTGTGTCCCCCCTCAGGTGACAAGGGGGACCCCAAGAGCGCGGCGCCCAGCGAGGTGAGCCAGCTGCTGTCGGACATTGGGGACGACATGTACCAGCAGTACCGCAGCCTCACCCGCCCCCCCGCCGACTTCGACCCCCCCGCCGGCTTTGCCATCGGGGGCTGGGGGCGGTTTGAGGGGGCTGGGTGTGGTTTGGGGGGACTGGGGGGCTGAGGGGTCTGAGGTTTGTGGGGGGCTGGAGGTGGTTTTGGGGGTCTAGGAGTCAGTTTGGGAGGATTTGGAGGACCCAGCATTCCCTGGGTCACTGATGTTTGAGGGAGGGGGTAACAGGGGGCTCTGGGGGTGCCATGTGGGGTCTGTGGGGTTTTGGGGGCCCCCCCAGGCTCTGACCCCCCCTGCTCCCCCAGGCCCAGGTTTTTGCTGCTGACGGAGCCGCGGCCGAGACGCCGCCCTCGGGAACCCCCCAGGGAGAAGGTGGCACTGATCCCCCGAGTCCCCTGGTGTCCCCTGCTTGTCCCTGATGTCCCCACCATGTCCCGTGACCCCGATACTCGCAAGCCCCCGCAACATCTTCTTTGTACCTCCACACATCCTGATGTCCCCTCTGTGTCCCCAAGGTCCCTGAGCCCCTCCTGTCCCTGAGCCCTTCCTGTCCCTGAGTCCCCACTGTCCCTGAGGTCCCCAAGCCCCTCCAGTCCCTGTGCCCCCACTGTCCCCTCCATGTCCCCAGAGTTCCTGAGCCCCCTAAGGGTGCTGCCCTGTGTCTCCTGATGCTGTCCCTGTGTCCCCTGACTGTCCCCTGATGCTGTCCCCATGTCCCCTAATGCTGTCCCTGTGTCCCCTGACGCTGTCCCCATGTCCCCTGACGCTGTCCCCGTGTCCCCACAGCATCCAGCCCCGAGGAGGGCCGCGAGGGCCGCAAGGAGAAGGAAGGGGAGCATGGGGAGGAGCGGGGCCGGGCACGGGGCTCCAAGCCCCTGATGCCCACCTCGACCATCCTGCGGCTGCTGGCCGAGCTGGTGCGCTCCTACGTGGGCATCGCCGCCCTGATCGCCAACTACAGCTACAGCGTGGGCCAGTCCGAGCTCATCAAGGAGGTGACACCGCGGGGACAGGCCACCAGAGGGGCAGGGGACAGGGACAGGACAGCCGTGTGTCTATCAGGGTGTGCTGGGAGGGCTAGTCCCAGCTCATCAAGGAGGTGACACCATGGGGACAGGCCACCAGAGGGGACTGGGGACAGGGACAGCCGTGTGTCTGACAGTGTATGCCAGGAGGGCCAGTCCAATTCATCAGGGAGGTGACACCATGGGGACAGGCCACCAGAGGGACAGGGACAGGGCAGCTGTGTCCCTGTCGGGGTGTGCCGGGAGGGGCAGTCCCACCAGCTCATCAAGGAGGTGACACCACAGGGATACAGCCACCAGGAGGGACAGGGACTAGGGTGGCCACTGCCACCAGTGAGCTGTGTCCCTATCAGAGTGTGCATGGTGGGGTTCTGTCACCCCCCTATGCTTTGGGGTCTGCTGTCACCTCAGGGAGGGGCGTCACTTGTCACCCCTTGTAGAAGGGTGCCTTGTCACCTTGATTGTTAGGGTCCCCTGTTCCCGTCCCTCCAGACACCTCAGTCCTGTCCCCTGTGCTCAAGGGTCCCTTGTCCCCATAACTTGGGGTCCCCTGTCACCTCATTGAGCAGGTCCCGTATCCCCCAAACACCTCAGTCCTGTCCCCTGTACTCGAGGGTCCCTTGTCCCCTTACCCTTAAGGTCCCCCTGGTCCTCTCTGTCCCCTGGCCGTGGGTCAGGGTGTGTGAGTGACCCCTGTGTCCCCCCAGGACTGCAGCGTGCTGGCCTTTGTCCTGGACCACCTGCTGCCCCACCAGCAGAACGCCGAGGACAAGGACACGCCGGCGCTGGCACGGCTCTTCCTGGCCAGCCTGGCTGCGGCTGGCAGTGGCACCGATGCCCAGGTGGCCCTGGTCAACGAGGTCAAGGCCGCCCTCGGCCGCGCCCTGGCCATGGCCGAGAGCACCGAGAAACACGCCAGGTGTGGGGACAGCTGGGGACAGCGTGGGGACAATGTGGGGACAGCTGGGGACAACATGGAGGAAGCATGGGGCAGCGTGGGGACAGCATGGGGATGGTGTGGGGACAATGTAGAGCCTCTGCATAGACAGCCTCGAGGTGACCAGTGTCTCATCCTCTGTCCCCTACATCATGACTGGTGTCCCTTGTCCCCCTGGAGTGAATGGTGTTGGTGTCCACCCAGAATGATCAGTGTCTCCGTGGAGTGACTGGTGTTCTCCAGAGTGTCCCTTGTCAATCCAGAGTGTCCCCTGTCCCCCTGGAATGACTGCTGTCGAGACGGGGACAAGGGTGGCCGCTGCCACCAGTGAGCTGTGTCCCTATCAGAGTGTGCATGGTGGGGTTCTGTCACCCCACTATGCTTTGGGGTCTGCTGTCACCTCAGGGAGGGGCGTCACTTGTCACCCCTTCTACAAGGGTGCCTTGTCACCTTGATTGTTGGGGTCCCCTGTTCCCGTCCCTCCAGACACCTCAGTCCTGTCCCCTGTGCTCAAGGGTCCCTTGTCCCCATAACTTGGGGTCCCCTGTCACCTCATTGAGCAGGTCCCGTATCCCCCAAACACCTCAGTCCTGTCCCCTGTGCTCGAGGGTCCCTTGTCTCCTTACCCTTAAGGTCCCCCAGGTCCTCTCTGTCCCCTGGCCGTGGGTCAGGGTGTGTGAGTGACCCCTGTGTCCCCCCAGGACTGCAGCGTGCTGGCCTTTGTCCTGGACCACCTGCTGCCCCACCAGCAGAACGCCGAGGACAAGGACACGCCGGCGCTGGCACGGCTCTTCCTGGCCAGCCTGGCCGCGGCTGGCAGTGGCACCGATGCCCAGGTGGCCCTGGTCAACGAGGTCAAGGCCGCCCTCGGCCGCGCCCTGGCCATGGCCGAGAGCACCGAGAAACATGCCAGGTGTGGGGACAGCTGGGGACAGCGTGGGGACAATGTGGGGACAGCTGGGGACAACATGGAGGAAGCATGGGGCAGCGTGGGGACAGCATGGGGATGGTGTGGGGACAATGTAGAGCCTCTGCATAGACAGCCTCGAGGTGACCAGTGTCTCATCCTCTGTCCCCTACATCATGACTGGTGTCCCTTGTCCCCCTGGAGTGAATGGTGTTGGTGTCCACCCAGAATGATCAGTGTCTCCGTGGAGTGACTGGTGTTCTCCAGAGTGTCCCTTGTCAATCCAGAGTGTCCCCTGTCCCCCTGGAATGACTGCTGTTCTCCAGAGCGTCCCCTGTCCCCTTGGAGTGACCGGTGTCCCCCAGAGTGTCTCCTGCCCCCCCCAAAGTGATCGCTGTCCTCCTGGAATGATTGCTGTCCCCCAGAGCGTCCCCTGTCCCCCTGGAGTGACCGGTGTCCCCTGGAATGACCGCTGTCCCCCCGAGTGACCGCTGTGCTGTCCCCGCAGGCTCCAGGCCGTCATGTGCATCATCAGCACCATCATGGAGTCGTGTCCATCCACCTCGAGCTTCTACAGCAGCACGGCCAAGCCGCCCCACAACGGCATGAACAACATCATCCGCCTGTTCCTCAAGAAGGGGCTGGTCAACGACCTGGCCCGCGTGCCCCACAGCCTCGACCTGTCCAGGTGAGGGGCATTTGGGGGGCGTGCTCAGGGATTTGGGGGGGGTCTTGAAGGGTTTTCAGAGGTCTTGAGAGGTTTTCAGAGGTCTTCAGGGGAGCTTCATTGGGAGCTTTGTTAGGGTTTTGGGTTGTCTTGAGGAGGGCCATGGTGGATTTGGGGTCTGTGCTGGGTTTAGGGGTGCCTGCTGGTTTTGGGGGAGGGGGGCGGTTCCGTGCTGGGTTTGGGGTCCCTGCTGGATTTTGGGGGTCCTCATTGGGTTTTGGGTCCCTGCTGGGTTTCGAGATCCGTGTTGGGTTAAGGTTGGGTTCCTTGGTGGGTTTGGGCATCCCCATTGGGTTTTTTAAGCCCCTGCTGAGTTTTGGGGTGGTCCCCGCTGGGTTTGGGGTTTGGGGAGGGGTCCCTGCTGACCTGAGGGTCCCTTCTGGATTTTGGGGTCCCTGCTGGGTTTTGGGGGGATCCCTGCTGGGCTGGGGGTCCGTGCCAGTTGGGGTGCCAGCGCTGCCCCCCCAGCCCCAACATGGCCAACACGGTGAACGCGGCGCTGAAGCCGCTGGAGACGCTGTCGCGCATCGTGAACCAGCCCAGCGGGCTCTTCGGGGCCAAGGGCTCCTCCAGCAAGAGCAAGGCCGAGGGCAACGGGGGCGCCCGCGAGGCTGGGGCCGCGCCCCCCGATGGAGGTACCCCCCCCCGGGTCACCCCACAGCCCCCGGTGTCACCTCATGGCCACACCACCAGTGTCACCCACAGCCCCCCAGTGTCACCCCATGGCCTCCCGTGTCACCCCACAGCCACACCCGCACCCCCCCTGTGTCACCCCATGGCCTCCCCTGTGTCACCCCACAGCCACACCCACAGTCCCCCAGTGTCACCTCATGGCCACACCCCCAGTGTCACCCACAGCCCCTCAGTGTCACCCACAGCCCCAGGGTTACAGCCACACCCACACTCCCCCTGTGTCACCCCATGGCCCCCCGCAGTGTCACCCCACAGCCACACCCACAGTCCCCCAAGTGTCACCTCATGGCCACACCCCTAATGTCACCCCATGGCCACAGCCCCACCCCCAGTGTCACCCTGTGCCCCCCAGGGTCACCCACAGCCCCCTGGACCCCCCAATGCCACCCCCAGCTCTCCCAGTCCATCCTTGGTCACCCCAGGTCACCCCACTGCCCCCCTGCCTCTGCTGCCCCCAATTTCCCCCCATCTCCCACCCCTCCTTTACCTGCCACCTTCCCCCAGGGGGACCCCCCTGTGACCCCCCCCCCCCCCCCCCCCCCCCCACCCCCCCCCCCCCCCCCCCCCCCCC